AAGCAAAATTACTATTGTTCAAGAAACCATAAAATTTTCCAATTTTTGGCCTTTATTTAATATTTTTTATTTAAAAAATAATATACGTTCAATTGATAAAAAATTTTCTTCATTGCTACTGGATATAGGAGAAGGCAAAATTAAAGCTTTTATAATTCCTCAGACATGGAAAACAAACGATGTTTGTTCTAAAATTTATTATAATGATGATGATTCTTTCATAAGTAAAGCTATATTTATATCTCACAATGAATACACTCACTTTTTGAACAAAAAAATTTTAAATAATATTGTAGGAACATTAGTAACGTACTATAGTATTGATAAAGCAACTCACAAAGGAGTAGAGAAATTAGACGATAATATTTATACTAATTTCTCTACAGAATTTTTAAATAGTTATAAAGAAGGTCTTTTTTCACATGAATTAGATGTAAAGATAATGATTCTTTTATAAGTAAAGCTATATTAACATCTCACAATGAAAACACTTACTTTTTGAACAAAAAAATTTTAAATAATATGGTAGGAACATTGGTAACGTACTATAGTATTGATAAAGCAACTCACAAAGGAGTAGATGAATTGGACGATAATATTTATACTAATTTCTCTACAGAATTTTAAATAGTAGTGAAGAAGGTCTTTTTTTACACGAATTAGATTTAAACATCAACGCTATTGTTATGTTAATATGCAACTTAAACATATCTGAAGGACTTTGCAATGGTACAAGATTACGAATTACAAAATTATTTAAATACATCATCGAAGCTGGAATAATCTCAGGTAAAAAAAAAGGAAATGAAGTCTTTAGTCTAAGAATAACACTCAATACAAACAATTCTTCTTCACTACCATTTATATTGTACAGAAAACGATTTCCATTTATCTGAACTTGTCCTATGGCTATCAATAAATCTTAAGGTCAAAGTTTTGATGCCTTTGGGTTATACTTTAGAAAACAATTATTTTCTGATGGGCAATTATATGTTGCACTGTCTAGATGTTAAAACCAAAAAAAAATTCGTATCCCAATTGAATCAGAAAACAAATTTGAAATTGAAAATATTGTTTGGAATGAAATTTTAGAGTAACAAAAAAACTATTCTATAGTTCATTACTATTTTTATACTTTCTTGCAAATTTCATCTTTCATCAAAAAAGCAAATTTCAGTACCGTCTAGTATCCAGATTTCTATAATCATAAACAATCCGTTTTTTGTAATATGTTTTCAGATACACCATCATGGATGCAAAATTCGATCAGTGTGACAAATGTAACTCAAAATTTTCAAATCAAGAGTGTCTATCATCGCACGAAAAAATTCCCAAAAAAATTTTTTTGTATGTGATCTGTGTAGCATTATAATATTAGACAAGAAAAACTATTTGCGTCACACAAAGGAATGCCAAAACATTGAAAAAAATTTCAAGTGTATTCAACGCGAAAAAAGTTTAAAAAGAAATTATCCCTTACAGAGACATTTGAAAAGTCATGAAAAAAACGTTCAAAAAAATATTCGTCAAAATTATGGAAAAAGTTATGTAAGAGCAGAGCACCTACAAAGACATTTTAGAGTATGTAATGAAAATAAACATCGTAAGTAAGATAATTGTAACAAAATTTTTTGTTATGGTCAAATAAAATTATATGTGAAAATTAGACCACTTGTAACAGTTAATATATAAGGCTTAACGAATATATTTACATTATACATGGGGAAGCTGGGGGAGCTGGGGGGAGTGGGGAATGGAGCGGGGGATAGCTAGCAGAAAAGTAGGATTACTCGAAAAATGCAAAAAATTGAGAGAATAACTACCTTATTTGGGGGCGAGCTGGGGGAAGGTGGGGGGGAGCAAAACCTCGCTCTAACTCTTACGAATATATAATATAGGAAGATATATATTTATTTATTTATTTATTTGATTTGTACGATTTTGTTGGATACTAAATCAACAACAAAAAATTTTAATTTTTGTGGTGTTTCTGGTTTAAGGCTGGAACTTCAGATAGCAGAAGAAAGATTCCTATACATGCATTAGCTGAAGGTCACGGTGAAAATCTTTGTGCTGTTCTGACAGCACTACATCACTTCTCAGGTTCTGACTATACAAGTAAGGTAGGCACAAAATTATGGGCGATTCAAGGATATGCGGAAAAATATCAAACAGAATTCGTATTAGGTAAAATATTTTCTGTGTACAAAATTATACTTGAGCTGTTTAAATAATACACTCATTTTTTGTAAGCTTTTCTTACTTCGAATTACAGGACTTTACCAGGGATTTGTTTTCCATGCCAACTGCATCAGATTCCGCAAAAGAGCTGAAGGCATTGCCTAGTGGCACTGTGAATGCCTTAGCTGTACTAAAACAGATAGACCGTCCTACTGCTCACTGGGACAAGCTGGTGGTTGTGCTTATCATCTGGAAGCTTGACCCACGGGATCTGCGAGAAAGGTAGTCTTCGCAGAGCTCTACCACCGAACCTCCTACCTTTTCTGCGATGAAGCTCTTCATCGAGCAACGCATTTCAACGCTTGAGATTATCGGCGCCACTGCGGGGATGTCGACTCGCAAGAAGGCCAGAAGCTGCTCTTTACTAAACTCTTGTCGAGCAATATATTTACTGAACTATTATCAAGCTTAACAAAAAATGTATTAACCGAATAACAACTAACGTCTGCAACCACGATTTACAAATAATAAGTTGTTTCTGTGTTAGATAAAAAGTAAGGTGACAGTTAGAACTCTGCAAAAGTCATTTCAGTCTGATCCATGGCCTACTAACAAAGTATACATTCAGTATTATGGTTGAAAAGGAAAAAAAAGATTATTTAGGTAGTAGTTAAATTAAATAAGGAAACAATAAAATTTCTTACAACTTCAAACTTATGTTGCTTTGGCTGTTTTTATAAATTTTAAGTTTCAAATTTTATAGTAATTTTAATTTAGAAATTAAGATAGATTGAAAGGGAATTGAGTAATTTTAAAAAAATCAATCACCAAATAATAAGTAACTTACAGGAAATCGCGATGAATTCAAATAAAAATATTTTCAGTTAACATACTTATACAGCAGATATAATTTAGTAGGAAAACGTGTGAATAAAAAGAAACTATTCAACTTTACATAATGTGGAACTTGAAAAGAAAACCCGAAGTATTGACTTCACTTAGAATTAGTCTATTGTGTTTAGAAATCATATTCGTAGAAATACATTAAAACGCAGTAAACAAAATTTCTTTTACTTTGATAAAATAACAAAAAAGAAAAATTGATAACTTCATCAAGTAATTTGATTAAGAAAATCGTAAGAGCTTACTGGTTAGATATGTACACATAAATCGATAGAAATGTTTGCGCAAGTGATTCACAATAATTTTAAGATTTAGAAAACGTATATTCAACATGTTATTTTTATGTCTCCACTCTCATCTATTAAAAGTTTAAAAAAATAATACTTGTACCATAATTATATCAGAAACCATTACTACCATCAAACTAATGGCAACAAAAAGTATACAAAAAAACATGACCTTTACAAGAACTTTATGATACAAATAATTTAAAGTTTAATTTAAACTTATGATAAACGTTATTATGTAACTTACGGATTGCATAATAGCAGACTCAAAAATATCCATTCTTCTAGTTTCAAGGGCAAGTCCTAGTGCTTGACGATACTGGTTATCGTCTAAACATCTTTGAAACATTCGATTTACAATTTTTTCCAATCTAACATCAATTCTCTTGACAAACGAGGATATCTTTGTTTCGGTCTCCAATCGTTGTTGAGTATAATAATCAATGCACTTCGCTGTGAAATACACTTGTATTAGTGGAAAAAAAACGGTTTTCAATAAGATTAACATTAAACTTACCGATTATTGTATCAACGTATTCATTGCGCGAGTTAACATCAAATAATTCACCAGCTCCTAATGCATAGGTTAGAGAGTCTTCAAAACTTCCAAGGTGATAGTAAACTTTACTAGCGACTAAAGCTGCAAGTTCGTGATAGTTGAAATTTCTATCTTCATGAAGTATTTCGCTAGGTAAAATATACATTATTAGTACTCGAAGTTTTTCACGTTTTATAAATAGAGTGTCGGTAAGTTATCTGATACAATTTTAGAAAAGGGTCTAGCTCGATATTGCATTGCGTCTCATTACGAAGAGATAGGCGGGTGTAAAGCTTTAGCTTTGGGTAATGATTCAGGACCACTAGAAATACTTTAACTTGTTAATTTTGACATACATGTTATCTTATTCAACTATTGTCATTTATGAATGTATTATGATTTATAAATATTTTAATCTAAATCTGTCATACACTTCAAAGATAAAGTTCAGCTGTTCTGTTCTATAAGTCAGATATTTACGAAAATAAGATGACAAGAAATGGCTTCTACAGAATTCAACTCAACACTTTCGTAAAAACACTTAGGTAAAACTATATGAACTTTTAGAATCACAGGAAAGTACTACAATTGTTGTTCATACTTTCCAAAGATTAAATAAATTTAAAGAAAATCAAAACATGACTTTTTCTTCTGGTAAAAACGGTTTCAGAATCGTTAGAGCTCATAGAGAATGCCACTAAAATATTTAAGTGGGCACTAAAAAACACATGTTCAGATCACTCCTTACAAAAATAGTTTTTCAACAGTCTGCAACAGTAAGAGATTTGTCTGTCAACAAAAATTCCAAAGAACAAGATCTGTTAAGTATAAATAAAAAGTTATCAAGAGGTAGTAATTTTTTCGGACGGATTTTAGCATTTGTGTAATTAAGTTGTTCGATTTATGCATTGCTTATCATTATTATTGTCATTGCCACCGTCACCGTCACCGTCACCGTCACCATCGCCGTCGCCGTCGCAGTCACGGTCGCCGTCATCATTATCATGATTATCATTGTCATTATTCATAATCATTGTTATTATTATAATTATTATTATTAATATTTTTTTTTTTATTATTATTATTATATTTACTATTATTGTCATTTATATCATTACTATAATTATCATTATTATCATTGTTAT